TGTATTCTATTTGCTCATCTAGGGAATCTTGATTCCACTTCAGTAGATCTGGGTGGGACCTGAGAGTCTATGTTCTAGTCACTTCTTAGGTGATGACCTGATGGTGATCTGAGAACCACTCTGGGAATAGCAATGACATAAAGGTCCTTCTATAAGCTACCAATTAAAAAATGGAATCCTGGTAGTGGTTAGTGTTTAATGTCTAATAGATATTTGAGCAATCCCATTTCCTTCTCACCTATCTTTAACCCTCAATTTAAGGGGCTACACTAGAATGAAGATACTTGTAAAATGATATTTTATTCTAAATGATATCTCAGAATAAAAATAAACCTGAAGTTTGAGGATAGGAGAAATGAGAGATATTAGATAAGGATACAAAGTTTCAGTTATGCATATTATTTCAAGTAAATTATGCAAATAAATTTGGAGATCTCTAGTACAGTATGATGATTCTAGTTAATAAAATTGTATTGTATACTTGAAATTTGCTAAGAGAATAGATCTTACATGTTTTTACTAAACACATACACACAATATAAAATTATGTGATGTGATGGATATATTAACTAGCCTAATTGATTGCCACTTTATAATATAGACATATTTTAGAACACGCAATTTTTATTTATCAATTGTACCTCAATAAAACTGGACAATTCTACAAAAGTCTTAAAATCAGCCATATACTAATGTAATAAAATATTCCTGTAAAATAATTTTTCCTACCACACCATGATTTCCTCTATGTACACTGCAGTTAGAACATTTTATGCTTCCTCCAGAAGGTGTGCCGTAATAAAAGGTTGTTGAGAATGAGAGTCAAATTCCCATTGTTGACAATGAGAGTCAAATTCCCCACTTCGAACTTTCAAAAGCCAAGTTCAAGGCCAATCATTATTTGGAAGAGCTAGAAGGAGCCATCACTAAGTGAAAGTCTATACTCTGTCCTTGCAGCCTTCCTCCTACCCCAGGGTAATGACCCTGAACTAATAAGGCTCTAGATACCCCTGAACCTTGAGAGGATGAGAAGAAATGGCCCTGAAGTGTATCTAGGCAAATGACACTAAGGAAGCCTCAGAGGTTTCCAGAATGTTCACAGGATAGAACCTAACAGATGGATTACTGACATTTCAGTTTAGAAGAGTAAAATAAATTTTTCAGGGTATTTCAGAAGGAAATAGAATTACCTCTCAAAGAGAACCTGAGATGAGATACACAAGCATATGTGGATAGAGGATAGATGACCAAGAATCAGACGACTCATTCTTTGAAGCCTTACTCTACCCACATAATTCTAAGAAAGTTTCTTCTATAGACAGGACATTTGTAAAAGGAATCAAAAAGGAAGTTGATACTTCCCACTGACTGGGATCTGAGGTTCATGCCAATTATAGGTATAAATCTTCAAATATCTACTAGTGTGTTTTACATACAATGCATATTCTGTATCTATTTGATACATTTCTTTGCTCCATATTTGTCTAACCCTGTGGCCTTAGATCTCTGTTTTTTCTCTCCGGTATGGTAACTATTAGCTATATGTGATTCTTAAGGACTTGAAATGTGGCTAGTATGAATTAAATTGTAATGTAAGTGTGAAATATATGCCAGATTTTGAAGATTTAGCATAACAAGAAAGAAAAATATCACCCTAATAATGTTAATATTTCTAACATATAAATGTTAGTACATCTGGACAAATAGAATTAAATAAAATACATTATTAAAATCAATTTCATATTTTACTTTTATAATTTAAAGAATGTGCATACCTGAAAATTGAAAAATTTCTCTGTGACTTGCAGTATTTGTCTGTTGAACATGTGGCCCTGTATGCTCATCCACATTGATCTCATTTGCTTTCACCTGAGGAGCCACCACCATTGCTTAATTCTTTCCATATGTAAGTGCTTTTAATGACTTTATAATGATGATGTCTGGGATTCCTAACAGGATAAACTAGAAATTACTCAGAAAATGTCTTGTATCTCATTTCCTGTTGATGGGACTTGGGAATAATCATTGGGAATGATTGCTTAGTCTGTAATTTGTACAAAAGGGAAGAGATTTTTCTCTACAGTAATTAAGACAAAGCCATTAATACAACTGATGATTTTTTTAAATGCCTGGTTACTAAACAGTTAGTCAAACCATAAATCACAAGTGAATCAAACAATGATAAAATATTATCCTGAGTGTCTAACTTGGCTTAGAATTATTATCTAATTAATAATTTTAATATAAAATGTATTAACATACTAAAATAGGACAATTTGAAGATATTTTTATAAATGTATAAGGAAATATCACAGAGAGCACAGTAATTGAGAAATAGTAGTGTCTTCAATTTTATGTTTAGTTCTTGAGTTGGCCATGGAAAAAGTGTCATAGTCTAATCAGGCTGCAATAACAAAATTCCACCATTGGGTTGCCTTAAAAACAATAGATATTTTTCACAGTTATGGAGGTTGAAGATCAAATCACCAATATGTTCTGTGTCAGGTAATGGCACATTTTGTGGATTAGTTGGTTACACTTTACTTGTCTTTGCATGGTAGAGGAGGTAAAGGTCTCCCTCAAGCTTCTATTTTAAAGGTGCTAATAATATTAATAAGCCCACCATCCCAAAACTTAATCAATCCCTAAAGGCCCAATCTCCTAATTTCATCACCTTGGGCGTCTGGATTTCAAAATTGGAATTTTGGAAGGACACAAACATTTAAACCACAATAGAAAGGAGCTATCACCTTCACTTAGAGATACAGAGAGCCCTAGGGAAACTTCTGGGAATGGGAGAAGAGAAATGGATGCTTTGATTTAACTCTCCCCTAATTCTGTAATCTGTTATTAGTGTTCTCCATTAGTCAAACCCAAACGAGAGAGTATGGGGATTATGGTGCCTTGTTGATGTCGTTTATACAAATAAGTTTCCCAGAGCAGTCAGTAAGGAAAATGGTGGAGAATGGATCTGTAGGGGAAAAGAAAATATACATAGGGTATTCTGTGTTTTCAGACTCATTCCCCATAATGCATATATGTCACCATCCCTCCCTTACCCTTTAATACAAAATGAAGCCTTAAACCAGGATGTGTGTCCACAAACAGTGCTCTAGTTTCTCACACTGCATATTCTCCTTGGCCTCATCTACCCCTACAATTCTGGTTATCAACTAAAGGCTGATGGCTTTAAAATCTACAATTATGCTCAGACCTCTCTCCTGTCATCTAAATGGCTGTATCCAAGTGCCTGTAAGTCAGCTTCACCTGGATGCCTCACACTCTTCTCAAATCATCATGACCAAGACAAGGTCAAAATTTCAATGAGCCTATTTTTTCATGTTTTAAAATGAAGACAGAAATGTTAGAAGAGGCTACTCAGTTATGCTTAGGAGAGGCTTACATAGGTAATTTTGGTTATTATAAAGGCCTGAAAAATTATGACACTGTGTCCTTATTTCATATTTTAAGTCATAGTTTGAGACTTATGCAACTCACAATGTCCTAAATTTGATTTTTTTTTCCCTGAATATTCACTCAGTACTTCTTATGTGTCAAGAACTTGTGCTCTTATTTAAGTCTCACAAGCACTCTAAGATGATGAGAAAATTTAGGCCTAGAGGGGTGGTTTTGCACATGACATGGCTCCATAGCTGACAAAGGGTGGAAATGAGTTTCAATCCTAGATAGGTCAATTTCAGAGCATATGAAAATCTCTATAGTGCAGTGTTGAGTAAAATTCCTTCTTATTGATAAGGACAAAAGGGCTAAAAGGCCAAGAACCATGTTTTGATGAGTCTGATACTCAAGGTAAAAAGATATAACAGGGTTGAAGGAATCTGGAAAAGAAAAATAATAGGGTAAAAACAGATGAAATGCAGGATTTTTGAAACATTTTTTTAAAATTTTTAAACCATTGGATTAAATACACTTTGTGCTAGGTATTGAAAATAGAAAAGCAATGAAGTCAATTTCAGTGTAGTGGGTAACAGGTAAATAAGTTTTAATAAATTTTAAATTAAGATACCTTAGATTATAAGGTTCCCAGAACATTAGTTCCATTAAATATGGACAGAATTCATTCATTCATTTTATTCAGTCAAGCAACATTTCCTGATCACCTAAGACACCATGCTAGAAGCTGGATATATAAAATAGAAACATAGAGTCCTTATCGGGAAGAAACTCACAGCCCACTAAAGATGTTTTTGGGGGTGATAGCAAAATGGAGCTAAAAGATCATGGAAGGATTGCTTAGCCTAGAGTGTTCAGCCAGTGCCAATATACTTAGGAGTTACTTGAGCAAAAAAGTTAAGGCTTTGGGTTGACCTCAGAAGGTACTACAGTTCAGTGTATAGGTCTAAAAGAGTTTGAACCTTTTACTAAGACTACCCAATTTTTTCTTGATGGAATAGCCGGTTCACACATTTTTCTGTACCATTGGTTTAGTTAAAATAACAGTAACTCGGATGACAAGAGCATTTTTTTTTTTCTATTGAAATAGGGATGCAGTTTGCGGTTGCATATCATCATAGCATGTGGATTAAAGTACAATGAGCTGGATAGGGCAGGGACCTAAATGAAATTCCACAGCCCGGCAGGCAGACGACTTTGGGACAGTTCGGTCCTCAGCTCTCAAGAGAACTGAAGGCAAGATAGTGGGAGAACACTGGGTGTTGGAGAGAAGCTGAGTTAAGCACACGACCTGGAGAAGCCTGGAGGTCAGGGGACTGGAGCTTATCATCTCCTCTGCTCTCTGAAACTCTCATTTAGAAAATGTCTCTGATGGCATTCGTCATCAGGGACAGCGCTTCTGGCTCCGGAGTCGACCTTTGTACTAGCGGCGCTGGGTTGCCTGGGCAACCCTGTACGGAGGCCGCCACAGTGGCCTTCTAGCCATTGGCTTAGAGGACGCAGCGTCCGTCTGACGTCACTGCGCGGCGCCGAGGGCCGCCGCGTGAAGCTTCATTTGTCCAAACTGTTGCAGCGGGCCACTGAGCTGTTGGTACTGGGGAGCGAGCGCTGGGCTGAAGCCCCACTTGGGGTTGCGCTGTGTGGATCGCGGCGGGAGAGAGGCGCGGTAGGAACGGGCTCTGGAACTGTAGGACCCGGGCGCGGCTTCCCGGCTGGCCTGTTGCTGGCCTCGCGGGACTCGTTGCTAGGGACCCTCAAGTTTTTGAGCGAGGCGAGCGCTCCTTGCCTTTCCTGGGGTCGCGCTTTGGCTGGGAGCGGCCTTCACCCAAACCGGCTCCCTCTCTCTCCCCGCATTTTTAACCTGTCTTCTTCTTGACTTGCTCATTTTCTAACCTTGACAGCACCACGGCCTTGAACTGGGTTGATTATTTGGAAGTGGATGGTTGTGGTGGTGGTGATGGGGATGTTCAGGATTTATTTTATGGCAGAAAGGGCGGGTTATGTGTCTCTGTGCTTTGAGTTTTGAAGAAGTTTTAGAGATGGAACAACACGATATTCTTACGGTATTTGTGTATGTGTGTGTGTGTGTGGGGGTGGTTATTAAACTTTTGGAACTTTCTAGACATAGAATTAATAGGAAAAAAAAGGTGGCCTCAGTCTCTGAGAATGTAGCAAACAGTTTAATGCAGTTGTCTCAAAAATTGGGTGGGGGAAGAAAGTACACGTATGGAAAGAGATAGGGTATTTGAGTTGTTCCAAAACTGTGATTGTATGCTTTCCTGTCATTGACTACAGGTGCCCTCAGTACCTTGAAGGTCCCCTAAGGGAAATGCGACTTAGCAGTGGTTGGTTCCTTACTTGTCTTTGTGACATAGGTGTTCCACGTTAGAGTCTTTATGGATTTTAATGTCTACTTAGAATCTTTGTATTATTTTATAAAAGAATGAAATGAATGGTGACCTTGATAGTATTTCTAACAAAATATTTCTTACTTCTTCCTCTCTCCCTATCACTACTGCTTTACAACACCCTCTACAAGTTTACAACATCCTCCAAAAGACTTGTTGAGGGTAAGATGAACTAAGCATTTTTCTTTTACAAACAACATAAAAAAAAAAAAAACAAAAACCTGAGCACACTTTTTTGCCTTTAAGATAAAGTATAATAGGTTAGGGGCTAGGGTTGTGGCTTAGTAGTGGAGCACTTGCCTAGCATGTGTGAGGCACTGGGTTCAATTCTCAGCACCACATATAAATAAATAAATAAAACAAAGGTCCATCAACAACTAAAAAAAATTTTTTTTAAAGTAATAGGTTAAGCAAGTGAAGAAATAAGTGTTTTGGAAATAAACTATGTAACATGGGATATTATGAAAGTATACATACAAACTTGCATCATTTTGTGTGTGTGTTTGCTGAAACTTACATTAAGTATATTTGTTACACATAAAATTGTCTGGTATACTTAAAAACTTTGTAAGCTCAATTTTCTAGTGTGTTTTAAGTCTTTCAGATGAAGAGTTTCAGTGGCTCTGAACTCATTCAAAATAAAAAGCAGTACTTTACCATTAGTTTTTTACAGGAACAACATTTTTACCTAAAGAAAGATAGAAATTCAGCTATAGAATTCCACAAAAAGGTTTTGCAGAGTTTCTAGTTAGGATTTAAAGATGTGCATCATTTTTATGTTTGTGGGTGGGCATCTTTGTAGTGCATCATCTCTTTAAGCTATGATAGCTATTATAATTTTCTTTCTTTTTTTTTGGGGGGGGGGCATGGGTACTGGAGGTTGAACTCAGGGCCACTTGACCACTGAGCCATATCCCCATCCCTATTTTTATTTAGAGACAGGGCCTCACTGAATTGCCTAGCACCTCGCTTTTGCCTAGGCTGGCTTTGAAGTCAGGATCTTCCTGCCCCAATCTCCCAGGCTGCTGGGATTACAGGCATGCGCCACTACAACCTGCAGCTATTATAATTTTCCCTAAAAAGAAATTGAAATTAAACTGGATCATCAAATTGATGTAGCCCAAGGTGTTAAACCAAAGTTTTTAAAAAGAAGGAGATATTTAGTCACAGTGGTCACATTAATATTAATGATAATACTAAAACAACAACAACAAAAAAAAAAAACTGTGTACCATGTGTACAGAACTTTTCTTTAGCTTAATGTTACAAAATACCAGTGATGATCAGCTTAAAAAGAGGAAAGTTTTATAGTGACTCACAGGTTTGGAGGTTTCAGTCCATGTTTATTTGGCTTGTTACTTTGAGACCTTTGGTTAGACAGTACATTATAGAGGGAATGGTTGGTAGGGAAAACCTGTTCATTTCTGGTCAACTAGGAAGCAAACACAATGAAAGAGGAGGGACTGAAGTCCTGAGATTTCCTTCAAAGGCATGGTGCCAATTAGCCAGTCACCTAACTTCCTTCCCTTGAGCCTCCATCTCCTAAATGTTTAACACCTTCTAGTAGGTAGCACTATGGACTGGGGAATAAGTCTTTAACACATGGACTTTTGGGGGATGCTTTTCATAACTACAGCATACCATTGTAATGAAAATAATATAATAGCTAAAATTTATATAATACTTCCAATGTGCAACGATTTCTTTGTTTTATGTTTATTAACTTAGACTTCATCAACACTTAGTATAATCACTGTAATTATTTCCAATTAAAAATTTTATAGAATCTTACATCATATTATTTTCCCTCCAGGAGCTTCTTAAAACAGAGGCCAGGCACAATAGTAAGTAGTTGTTGAGTGATCACTGAGCTGTCATAGTAGGTTAACATATTTAAATCTTTAGCTTATTTTAGCATATTATCTGAGATTTTTATTATCATATTAGTAGAAAATGCCTTGAGGATGAAGGTAACATGGATATTAAAAAGATGCCTGCTGCTTGTGGGATGAGAATGTAGTCAGTGTATTCAATTAAAAAAACTGAAATTAAAATTATTCCGTGTGCAGAAATAGTCTTTTCTTTTGTTTATCCGTGCCTAGAACTTTAAGCTGATACACTATGTTTGAAATATTATTTGGCTAATTTTTTTTACATGGAGCTTTGTCTTTTTGAAGATTTCTAATTTGTCAAGAAGATTTAAATCATTTTCATGTGAGCAATTATTTAAGAAAGTATTCTTGTTTATCCTGAAGAAGAGAAAACTAAAGAGTATAAATATATCAAAATTTGCTGGGTGCAGTGGCACAAGCCTGTAATCCCAGCAGCTTGGGAGGCTGAGACAGGAGGATCATGAGTTCAAAGCCAGCCTCAGCAAAAAGCGAAGCGCTAAGCAACTCAGTGAGACCCTGTCTCTAAATAAAATACAAAAAATAGAACTGGGGATGTGGCTCAGTGGTTGAGTTCAATCCCCTGTAACCCCCCAAAAAACAAACAGTCAAAATTAGTTTTACTGTCATGTATAACTAAAAAGAACCAATAAAAACTTCTAAAAAAAATGGTGTCCTTATATATTTGGAAAGCTGTCACTTGGAAGTGTAAGAGGATTTGTTTGTGTCACTTTCAGGGAAGTGAACTTCTTATACTGCAGTTGAGGGGCAGTGTAAAGTACTATACTATTTTAAACACCTAAACTGGGAAGTTTACTAATGGAAGAATAAATAGTGTCATGGAAGTGAGGGAAAAGTAGATAGTGAAGAGAAAAAAAAAACAGTGTTTAAATCAAGTATCATAGAAGTGTACATTTGAGAAACCAAGATTAGGAAAGGCTACATGGAAATTGGGAATGGAGCTAGACCTATAATTCAAGCAGACAGTTGGGTATATAAGTCTGGAGAGGTGTGTGTTTATTCCTTGCTTGAGGAACAGATTTAGAAATGATTAGGTTGGATTAAATGGGAACTCTTGGAGTAGGACCTTTGACCCCATCCATCAGTAGAAACAGAACCGTAGAAGAGGGAGAAGTGAACTAGTATTTCCTGGCTGAGCAACTTGATGTATAACATTATTAATTCCTTCGCAACAGCTTTGGTAAGGTTTTATTATTTCTTTCCTTTAATAGGCCAAGAAGTCAAAGCCCAGGGATGCTAAATAATCTGCCTAAATTCATAAATTTTGTAATTGGAGTTGAGATGCTGATCCAGTTATGAGTCCAAAGCCCTGTCTTCCTCATCACATGTTCATCACATCCATAGGGTTGAGTGTAGGAAGTGACGGAAAAGGAGATAGTGAATATCCTAAGTTTTTCTGTCTGGAACCAGAAAATTGGTAGTATATTGAATTAAAAAGGATTTATAACTTCAGTGTGACAAACCTAGTTTAAGTGGCCATAAGGAATTTGTCGAACATTGGGTAGAAGACTTCATTATGTCACTGAAGAAGTAGGTCATGATACGCAAGCCATAACATTTAGAACTTAGGAATTACAGAGGCCAAAGAAGATGGAGAGGCCACCTCTCTTAGAGGCTTAGTATATGTTTTCTAATGTGGGCAGAATATTGCAGTTGATTTTCTTAAGGTATATTTTGACAATTTATATGGAAAAATGTTTTATACCTCTTGTTTCTTGCAGATTCTTTTTATTTTGCAGTTATCGAAACCATTAAAATTGACATAATTTGATCTTTTTCCATTAGTCTTTTCAGGCATTTGGCTATGCACCAAATTTTTTTTTTTTTTTTTTTTTTTAGTGTCTTCTACTGTATTTTTTATTCCATTCTGTTTTGGTCTTTATGATGATAACAGGTAAACATATTTCAAAATCAAGTTTCATTTACTTGCAGGAATAAACAAGAAACTATGCAGAAATCTGAATGCCCTGGAGGTTTGCAGTTGAGAAACAGGGTGACAGGTACAGAACTTTTCTTTGCTGTTTTTCTTTTTTTCCCTGTGATACTGGGGATTATGTGTGTTCTTCCCTGCCTCAGCTTTGCTTTTTTAAATGGAGAGACCAAGTTTGTTAGTAAGACATTATATATGGATGTAGGATGACTGTTATATTCTCTTTTTTTATTGATTTTCTGTTTTTTTTCCAGGTAATTATCTTCAAAGGACATCCTCAAGTACACCAGTAAAACAGAGGACTACAATTCAGCAAAGCAAATCCTCATCATCAATAGGTTCTCCAGAATCTGCAAAAAAACTTCATCCTCGACCAAGTGATAAACTTAACCCTAAAACAATTAATCCTGTAAGTACAGTAAATATTCCTAAATTGGTAGTTTTGTAAAGGTAATAGGATTTTGCCTGTCAGTGTTGAGCCATTCTGATTGTTGTCCCAAGTTTCCACTGTTTCTTTTGAGCTAGTTTAGTCAGCTTTGGTATGCCCTATCATCACTAGTCCAAAACTAGTAAAGAGAAGACTCTGGATAACTTTCAGAATGCTTTAGTAGCACAGGGTACAAGTTTAGAATTAGCTCTTTTTTCCTCTGGAAAAACATGTGGAAGACAAGTAATGACTTGAGATATAACATTAAATTAAAATGAAGGATTGAGTTATAAAGCTTAGTTCACATTCTGAGTAATAATTCACAGCAGAAGGAGGGTTTCACTCATGTTGATATAATTCTTGCTAAGAAATTTAAAGTTTTTAAAGTTGCTTTCAAATAATCAAATAAGTAACTTGAAAACATTCTGTTTTTACATTTCTGCATATGATGTTTTAAAAATCAGTTATATTTTTAATATATGTTAATACATTTGATTTTGTAATTTAGTAACTATGTTTCATATGATTATGTTTAAAGTACTATGTAGTAAAATATTTTGTGCCTAAATTCTCTTTGAGTCACTGATTATTAATGTTGACATTATATGTGCTGTGATTGTTTAATTCGTTGTGATTGGTCATCTCTTACATTATTTGAAAGTAGGTGTAGAACTCATCTATTAAGATAATAGCAAACTGAAAGGTGGTGAAGTTATATAATCTTAAGAAGGTTCAGCCGAAAATATGTTGAGATTCTTTTTTTTTTTTTTTTTAATTTTTTTAGTTATAGTTGGACACTATACCTTTATTTTATTTATTTTTATGTGGTGCTGAGGATCGAACCCAGGGCCTCTCACATGCTAGGTGAATGCTCTACCGCTGAGCCACAACCCCAGCCCTGTTTGTTGAGATTCTTGCATGAGCTTTGTCTCTGTCATTCTCCTTGCCTGCAAGCTAATTCTTTGTTTTTGTTTTGTTTTTTTTTTTAAATAAAAGCCTAAAGCCAATTTGGAGAAATTCTACAGATTCTTTGAGCACACACAACATCTGTATTTGCTGGAGAGCAAATGGGAGATATATTCGTGGCTAAAACCAAATATTTCCCTGTATTTAGCACCCCTTCTCCATTGCAACCTTCACCTTGAAAAGGCAGAGTCAGGGAGAGTAGAAAGACCTGTCAATCCATATATGGTTTCAGCCACCTTCAAACCTTCTGAAACTTGTTAGAGGCTTAAAACACAAAGCACTGCGCTTTGTTAATGGGACAGGAGTGACAGTATTTTCATTTCTGTTACTGAATGTTAATGATGCATGTATAATACCTCCATAGTGTTCTGAAAGTCAGGATGTCTATTTGCTTCTCATTTCAACAGGATTAAAATTTACTGGGTATTACAGAGTGGAGGTGATAGAAATATTTTTGTTTCATTTCAGTTTGGTGAACAGACAAGGGCTCCTTCTGCATTCTCAGCTATTTACTCTAAAGGAGGTATTCCTTGCAGGTAAAATCAATACAATTTATAACTGATCATGTTATTCAAAATAATTGACTAAAATCAATACTGTATTCAGTTTAAACATAGTGAAAGTTTTAACTTTCAAGGTTGAAATAAAGATGATGTATTACTCTGGCTGTTGAATTGATATAGATCCCTGGACATGTTCAAGATAACCTTAATTCTAAAATGTAATAACAGAGTTCTGTGGTAAACTACCACCTAATTGAATGAACCACTTTTAAAATAATCAATTTAAGCATTTATACACTTGAGCAAAAGTGAAAGTTGACAATTTAATGAAGTAATATTCTTAATAAGTCCATGTGGCTGCTTTTACTTCCTTTGCATATCATTCCTGCTACATTTCTTCACAGTACATGTATTTTAGCCTGATCTTGATGATAGAAATTTTTATTTTCATTGTGGAAAAGCTAGTCACAGTAATATTTTTTCTTTTGGTTTTATAATTTAAAAAAAATTAGTTTTAAATGGTATTTTCAAATTTTGAGTGGAAAATAAGCTCAATCAATGGATGTGTAACTGATGTGATTCTGCAATCTGTATATGGGGTAAAAATGGGAGTTCATAACCCACTTGAATCAAAGTGTGAAATATGATATATCAAGAACTATGTAATGTTTTGAACAACCAACAATTAAAAATTTAAAAAAAAATAAATAAAAGTCATTTGGATGACCAAAAAAATAAAATAAAATAAAATCTGATGTAAACTGCAAAAAAATAAATAAATAAATAAATAAAATAAAATATTAAAAAAAAAATAAATCATTGAGATTATTGGATTTCCATTTAAAAAAAAAGATATGTTTTTCAATTCTTTGTTATTATTCCATATTTGAATTCTGAATTAAACCCCATTTCAAGGTTTTTAAGTGTCTCTTCCCACCAAACAATTGGTTTTGCTGAAAATGTTCAAGTAGTATTATAGAACCTCTTGCCTCTTGCTTAATATAAAAATAACACTAAAGAAGAAGCCAAGAAATCAAGACCATTATAAAAACTGTGAGGAAATATGTGGGGGTGATTAATAAGATTGTGGTCATGGTTGCGGCAGTGGCTTCTTGAGCATGTTCATCTACTGAGATTTATCAAATCTTGTGCTTTAACTATATATAATTTATTATGGGGCTGGGGATGTGGCTCAAGCGGTAGTGCGCTCGCCTGGCATGCGTTTGGCCCGGGTTCGATCCTCAGCACCACATGCAAACAAAGATGTTGTGTCCACCGAAAACTACAAAATAAATATTAATTTATTGTGTATCAGTTATGCCTCAATAATAGCAGTCAAAAAGTGGGGGGGAGCAGCAGATACTCTAATTCAGGGGCTTCTGCTTTGTAAACCTGAAGGGGCTATTATTTCACCTCTTTAACAAGGACTGAACCTGATTTGCCTTCAAATTAGTACTATTAGGGTTAAATGATCTCTATCTGAAAAACAAGATTTTTTATAAATCATTACTTTTCCTAATTATTATACATTTGAATTTTTCATTTCTATATATTATTTATTTTGTTATAATTGGATTGAAAGATAATCTGCTAGAGCATTTGTATTAAGATTCACAAATAGTAACATACTTAAATACCATAATTGTAGATTTAACAAATATGGAATTACCAAACAATTTTTCTGAAAGAATAGGACTTTGCAAGATTATAGACATTATTTTTTAAAATGTCCTTGTAATAACTTTTAAAGTTATGATATGCCAAGGTGTATATCATGGAAAAAGTAGATAATTCTAATGTGATTATACTCTTCTAATATATATATATATATGTGTGTGTATATATATATATATATATATATTAGAAGATCACTGCTTAATACATAATTTATATTTTCCTTGTTACCTTCACTGACTTTTGTATTTTAGATTGGTACATGGTTCAGTAAAACACAGACTACATTGGGACTGTCCTCCTGAAAACCTTCCATTTGATCCTCTTCTTATTACTTTAGCTGAGGTAAATATTTCATTTCTCCTGAATATTTATGGGAAAAATATTTGAAAATTGCATTCATTACATGCTATATTATAGCTTTTCAGTAAATCTCATTCTGTACTTTTGAAATAAGAACCAAACAATAGACATTAAAACACTATTCTCCCTTAGGAAGTTATTAGGATTGTCGTGTGTTTATTAGAAATTGATTAACCAGCTTTATAAATATGAAATTAGTCTAATGGGGATTTGTAGATAACTGGTTGAAATATTCGTATTCAATTCAAGGAAACAAAAATACATAGAATCATAATTAGAAAGATTTTTTTTTTTTTTTGTACTAGTTAAAGAAGGACAGCAGGAATTGAAACTTAAATGACATGACGTTGGACACTAAGTGCTGGTTCTGTCTCTATACAATCAGTTGTGTTAGTATAGTGCATTTCTAAGGGAGTTGATACTGACTACCTTAAAGTCCATTTGGAGAAACCTATGGATGTGTGATCTATTTGTAAATTTCAAGGAGAATATCATGGAGGGGATTTCTGTAAAGGATTTTTAAAAATCTTCTGATGGGGTTCCCTTAGGTAATTTAACATCTGGGTCAGGGATAAAGCTGACTGAGTCTTAGTTTCAAGTGAATAGACATAACTCCTGTGAATTTTATTCCTAGAATTTGAATCAGAAGTTGAGAACTTAATTTACCAATTATCTGACATTTAAACTTAGTAACTTGCCATATTTAAGAGTCAAGGATCATTTTGTTGTTGTTAAAAGCAAATTATTATATTAGAACTTCGATGATATTAGTATAAACAGGTAATACCATCTGTATAAAATAAGTCTAGTAGTAAGTAATATCATAAGTGAAAACATGACAGTGCGTGAACTCAAGTTCTTTATTCTTTGTTTTTAAAGAAACACTTGCACTTTCTGTAAAAACTGGGGAGGAACAAGTAGGAGCAGGACAGAAAAAGTAGATAATTTTGCTTTGTGAGATTTTTAAATTATAATAAAACATCAAAATCTATAGTTCCTCTAGTTTTCCATTTGCACTTAATTTCTTAAGTGGACTTACTACTGAAGATTTCCCTGTTGTTTTTAATAGGACTTTGCTTTCCTTAATTTATAATTGCTTACAGAATTGTTTTGGTATTATAAATAGTATATTTTCCAAGATCTGAGATTAGGCTTATTCATGCTGTTACAGCTATAGGCAATAAGCAGTCTATTTTGGGGGGCGGCACCCTATTTTGAAGTTCATTTTTTTAATTTGATAATAAAATTTTTAAGGAATTAGTGATGTTTTCTTGGTTTTTAAAATGACCTTTAAACATTTTATATATAATAGCAAACTGTATTTTAGACAATTCAAAATTTACGATATCTTTGTGTATTACAGCAAATCACAGGGTACAGTGAATGTTTTGATTTGGGAAGTCCTTAAAGGTACTCTGACTTTAGACTACATAAAGTCAGTCCTGTTTATGCCTATTATCCAACACCAAAGCTTTTATTTCTGTATTGGGTAGAATTTTGTCTTTCCCTTCTACTCACCTAGTAATTGGTTAGTAGTATAGAAGAACCACCCTTGAAACCCACTTGAGCTTTTGACCTGCGATTCATCTCTACAATAACAGAATACAGGTACTTCTAAGAAGATAAAAACCTATGGTTCAAAATGATGCCTATGTGTTTGGCAGCATAGTTTTCAAAAGCACAGAAGTGTTGAGGAAAGGGAGTGGTAGATCACTGAAAGCAGTTAGGTGTAAAGGATGAATCAGTTGAAAATTAATATTTTAAATGATGACTTTCCAGCCAGTTATAATTATTCAGTTCACGTATAATTAGTCAAACTGAAGGAGTTTTGTTGCTGCTTTTTTTGTTTTCCTATATTTTATGTTTTTGAAAAAAGATATCTCTTTATCTTGATTTACAGTGATTAGTTAAATCATGAAGTAGTACTGTGTAATTATTTCTAGTGCATTTAGGGTGAGAGGCATCATGAGAAATGATCTACACAAGCTTATATCATATTTTTATTTTATATTCCATTGTTCAAAATGACATTTGAAATTTTATAGTGCTTCTTGCAGGATAAGATTTGGCTTCTGAATATCTTAATATAAAATATTTAAATATGAAGGAAATGTGGATTAGGAACTCATTAAGTAAGTTTAGAATTATTTTAAAGACAGGGGTCTAATAGGCATACATAAAGTGGGAGGGCTTAAACATACGTTTTAGACTAATTTGCTGGCTTTCAGATATTATTTGGGAATAGATATAAAATGATTTTGGTATTCTAGTGTGTTCTTCATATGCTTTTTTCTCTTTTCAATTTTCTTTTCCCTTCCTTCCATTTCTCCTTTCTCTGACTTCTCTTCCTGTCCTACATTTTTTTCTTGGTTCCTTTATTTTCTTCATTCTTTTCCTTTCAATTAATCCTAATCCTATCATTTTTCTTACTGTTTTTCTTTTCCTTTCCTTCTGTGTGTAGAGATTTCCCCCTCTTTTGTGTGTGTCCTTTATTCCATAGTTTAGTGTAATTGAAATGTAAAATTACTGAAATTATATGATTAGAAAAATGATTATACTTTTGATTTTTTTATTTCATTTTTTAATTATTTTTTTTTATTTATATGTGACAGCAGAATGCATTACAACTCTTATTACACATATAGAGCACATTTTTTCATATCTCTGGTTGTGTACAAAGTATATTCACACCATTTCGTGTCTTCATACCTGCACTTTGGATAATAATGTCCATCATATTTCACCATCATTTCTAACCCCATACCCCCTCCCTTCCCCTCCCATCCCTCTGCCCTATCTAGAGTTCATCTATTCCTCCAATGTTCCCCCTCCTTACCCCACTATGAATCAGCCTCCCTATATCAGAGAAAACATTCGTCATTTGTGTTTTTGGGATTGACTAACTTCACTTAGCATTATCTATTTTTAATTCCATCCATTTACCTGCAAATGCCATGATTTTATTCTCTCTTATTTCTGTGTAATATTTCATTGTATATATATGTCACATTTTCATATCCATTCATCTATTGAAGGGCATGTAGATTGGTTCCACAGTTTAGCTCTTGTGAATTGTGCTGCCATAAACATTGATATGGCTGTGTCCCTGTAGTATGCTGTTTTTAAGTCCTTTGGGTATAGACCAAGGAAAGGGATAGCTGGGTCAAATTGTGGTTCCATTCTCAATTTTCCAAGAAATCTCCATACTGCTTTCCATATTGGCTGTACCAATTTGCCGTCCTACCGCAATGTATGAGTGTACCTTTTTCCCCACATCCTCGCCAACACTTATTGTTGTTTTGTCTTCATAATAGCTGCCATTCTGACTGGAGTGAGATGAAGTCTTAGAGTGGTTTTGATTTGCATTTCTCTAATCGCTAATGATGAACATTTTTTCATATATTTGTTGATTGGTTGTATATCATCTTCTGAGAAGTGTCTTTTCAGGTCTTTTTCCCACTTATTGATTGGGTTATGTGTTTTTTTAGTGTTTAGCTTTTTGAGCTCTTTGTATACCCTAGAGATTAGTGCTGTATCTGATGTGTGAGGGGTAGAGATTTGCTCCCAAGATGTAGGCTCTCTGTTCACCTCACAGATTGTTCCTTTTGCTAAGAAGAAACCTTTTAGTTTGAGTCCATCCTGTTTATTGATTCTTGATTTTAATTCTTACACCAAAAGAGTCTTATTAAGGAAGTTGGGGCCTAATCCCACATGATAGAGATACTTTTTTTTTTCTATTAGATGCAGTGTCTCTGGTTTTATTCCTAAGTCCTTGATCCATTTTGAGTCGTTTTTTTCAAGGTGAAAGATAGGAGTTTAATTTCATTTTGTTGCATATGAATTTCCAGTTTTCCCAGCAATTTTTGTTGAAGAGGTCTCCAATGCATGTTTTTGTCAGCTTTGTCTAATTTATGGGTTAGTCTCTGTGTCCTCTATTCTGTACCATTGGTCTACCCGTCTGTTTTGGTGCCAATACCATGCTGTTTTTGTCACTGTTGCTCTGCAGTATAGTTTAAGGTATGGCATAGTGATGTTACCTGCTTCACTCTTTTTGCTAAGGATTCCTTTGGCTATTCTGGGTCTTTTATTTTTCCAGATGAATTTCATGACTGCTTTTTCTATTTCTTTGAGGAATGTCATTGGGATTTTGATTGGAATTGCATGAAATATGTATGGTGCTTTTGGTAGTATGGTCATTTTGATAATGTTAATTCTGTCTATCCAAGAGCAAGGTAGATCTTTACATCTTTTGAGGTCTTCTTTGACTTCTTTCTTTAGGGTTCTGTAGTTTTTAGTAATTTTCATATATAGATCTTTCACCTCTTTCCTTAAGTTGATTCCCAAGTATTTTATTTTATTGAGGCTATTGCAAATGGGGTAGTTGTCCTCGTTTCCCTTTCTGAGGATTTGTCACTGATATTCAGAAATGCCTTTGCTTGATGGGGTTGGTTTTATATCCTACTACTTTATTGAATTCATTTACTAGTTCTAGAAGTTTTCTGGTGGAACTTTTAGGGTCTTCTAGGTATAGAATCATATCATCAGCAAATAGACCAATTTGAGTTTTTCTTTTCCTAGGGGTATCCCTTTAATTTCTTTTGTCTAATTGCTCTGGTCAGTGTTTCAAGAACTGTGTTAAATAGTAGTGGTGAAAGAGGGCATCCCTGTCTTTTCCCAGTTTTTAGAGGGAATGCCTTCAATCTTTCTCCATTTAGAATGACATTGGTCTGGGGCTTAGCATAGATAGCCTTTATGATGTTGAGATATATTCCTGTTAGCCCTAATTTTTCTAGTGTTTTGAACATGAAGGGATGCTGTATTTTGTCAAATGCTTTTTCTGCATCTGTTGAGATGATCATATGATTCTTATCTTTAAGTCTATTGATGTGGTTAATTACATTTAATTGATTTCCATATATTGAACCAACCTTGCATCCCTGGGATGAATCCCACTTGATCATGGTGCATGATCTTTTTGATAT